CCCCCCCCCCCATGCTACCGGCCCGCACCAGCCAGCCCAGATGGAGGAGTGAAAGGGCCCCACTACCTTCGAGCCGTGCGGGCTTCGCCCGGCAACCTCCGCCAGCGGCGGCGAGGGAAGGAGGGGAGAGTGGGTGGAGTACTGGCGGCTGCGGCTATGGTTTTCTCCCGAGCTGCCCGCGGGAGCGACACAGGAGCCGTTTGCTTGCGCTTAAACCAACTCATATTGAAAGGCTGAACTCAACATTTTGTGTTTAAGGTTTCGTTATGAACTAAAGACCATAACTCCTCATCTACCAGCGCCCAGAACATGGGCTTTTGTTTCTTGGTCGGACAAGGCCCAAATGCACCACGTTCCACAAAAATGCAAGGAAAAAACAACTACGCCATCCTTCCTAAAGTGTAAAACCATTATTGACACTATGATATATTTGGGATGGGGGGAGTAGTTCACTAGAGCCAACGGCGCAGTACATACAAGTTAGGAAAAAAAATCTCTGGTCAATTGCAAGAGAGATACGACTGGTCGAACTCCAATGAGAAGATGAGAAGATGATTCGCGTGATTCCATTGCAGTGGGCACCGGATGACAATATGGAGTAGGAGATCTGCCGAGAGTGTCCCCTTCTTGGTCGATGCCACCTGAGCGAGCTTTTGACGTGCATGTACATGTTTCGCCTGCGTGTCTCGTCTTTTTACGTTAAAGAAAATTATAAAGCACACATAACAAAAATAGCAACTGTTTCAGATTTGCACGAAAATTGAAAGGGATGGGATTTTCAAAAGGTCGCCCTTTTTGTTGGGGTGAAATACCGGTAAGTCCGGACATGGACCAACAACAACAAAATATAATACAGGGATGTACATTGTATTTTGTGAGTCGTATACGTACATGTATACAATGTACATCCCATAATATTTTGTAAGTCCTCTTAGCGGTATGACGCATGGAATACCAAAATTATTTTGTACTACCGGGCTGCTAGCTAGCTAGTAGAACACTTTCATGGTTTCTAGGTAACATGACAGGTCGATCTCCAACAACGAGGAGCCCTTCTTTTGCGCACGCATCTCATTCGTGTCCAAATCAAGAACTCCGAACATTTGGCAGCTAACACTGTGACATACCTCCAGCAGCACCACGTCGCCGCTCCTCTTTCCGGAGCCTGTGAAATAAACGGCTGCATTGCCATGGCCGTGAGGGATGTCTGGGCACATTGACCGTAGTTTGTTCTCAATGTCAATCACATTTTCTAGCAACGAACAACCACCTGGTTGGACTGTAGGGAGTTGTAGCCACACTGATATCTTGAACCCCTCGATGGAAAGCAGTTTCAGTATGGGGGCATCCGGTGATGTTGCCAAGTGGAGCTGGCGCCCTTTGCGGTTGTTTGGCGGGAGATTCACCCGTCCCGACGCCCCCGTGCGCACATCATATGTGAGTATTTGGTTAACGTAGTTCAGAAGCCAGTGGATAATGCCACCATGGAGGACGACGGGGGCACTGCACTTATTAATGTACCACAATGGAAAGTCAAGGTTACTTGGAGGAGAGGTTACACTCCCCCAGGCTCTAGAGGAGGATGTGATGACATTAAGGACAGTATAACCGAGCCAAAAGCGAGCTCTCTCACGCCCTCAACCATTTTGGCCGTCAGACCTTGCGTCGGGGTCATTTTTGGCCGTTAGATGTGCCTCCATCGCGTGTGTTTTTTCCTGCCCCAGTTGTCCTAAGGGGCTGCTACTCCAGGAGCTAAATCTGAGATACGTGGTTCACTGGGCCTTGGAGAAGGCCCATATAGCTGAGAGAGAGAGA